GCCGTCCGAGGAGGGCCGCCAGCCGCGCTTGGGCCTTCGTGGCCCGAGGCGCAAGCGCGGGGAACTCCTTGGGTGGCCCTGACGGTGATAACGCCGCCAGGGGCGGGGTCGGTTCNCCAGTTCCGGAAGGAACAAGTCCCCCGGAGCTAGAGGGAACCGAACCCCCTCCCGTCACCACCGGGATTTTTGATGGAGAGGATGGAGCCTCGCCCGAGGGTTCGGTCTCCATCCCCTCCTCGGCGGGACCCGAGGTNGCCCTCCCCCCATCCTGGGGGAGGCCTCCGCCCGACCGCCTCCTTTCCCGCCCACTTACGCCCGGAGCCATCGGTACTACAGCTAAATCTAACTTTGCTTGTGCTGTATTTACCTCGGTCATCTGTAATTCTGCTACGGACACAGATTTCTACTTTTTTTTGTTTTATTCTTTGTCACTTCCTGACGTTACGCTACTATCGCTTCGGCTTTTCTTTTCTCGTGGCGCGCGTCTTGTTTCCATTTGCGCGGTGTAATGTTTACCGTTTTTCTTGCCATTCAGCGACCAGCAGTTTTCTCGTAGGTGTCCTGTCTTCTTACAATAATTACAGTGTTTCTCTATTGCATTTACCCGGTTGCCACTTGGCTTAGGTAAAGACACCTTTCCAGACCGACATTCTCGTCCAAAATGTCCGGTCTTGCCGCATTTATAACAATTGTAATTTTTATTGCCACCACGTGCCTGATATTGCGTTCTATTTCTTGTTTTTATTCCCGCGGCTTTTTCCTCCGCGCTTGCCCCTGCTACTGCCTCTTGGAGCGTGTCATATCTGCGCGACCGCACAATTAATCTTAAATCCTCTCGCAACCCTATCTGATAGTGGTGCAACGCCTGTTCTTTAACAGTTTCCAAAATCGTACGCTTTTGATCCATAGTTCGCTCTTTTCCTTCTATCATGGACTCATAAAACTCCATCGCAAGTTGATTTACCCGTTGACCAAAATTTAGCGCACTGTCGTCATTCTTTTGTTTTACTGAGCTGAACTCTATTTGTAATTCAGTTGTACCTCTTTTTGCTGAATACGTGGTTTCTATCTCAAATTTCAACTGCTCAAAACTGTGTATATCCCGCGTTTTAAAATCTAGGAGTGCTTGTCCCTTTAACTTAGTGCACAGGATAGCTTCCAGTAACGTTTGCTCGTCTACCGGGTTTATA